GCTGACTGTTCAGAACTAAAACATGTCTCTTCTTCTAGGAGTATGCAGAGAAGAGGACAGGTCTGGAAAACCTGTCATGAAACAGGGAGACAAGTTTTGACCCAACCAGCCAATCCAACAACATGCTGTTCTCCCTTTGAGCTGCAGAGAGGAAATCCCACTCTAAGTATTTAGGACACATCTATTTGCCTCAAACTGAAAACAGAGGCACAACATGTCACAGAGGCTAAAGGCAGAAGGGTACATGCAGCTCTTCAGCAGCCACTGTAATCCTTTTTCTTTAACATTTTCTTAAAACAAGAAATATCTCAGCACACATTAGTCATGAGAAGAGCCTAAAGTAACATTACAAAAGGAGGAAAAAAACCAAAACCATACAGGTAACACAATGACAGAAATCTTGCCAAATCTTTTGGCAGGAAGACCAAGGGGACACAAAGAGAAGGGGAAAGAGACATCTGATGCAAACAAAGGATAAAGACAAAACCAAATATCATCAGGGCTGAACTGACACAACCCTCTGAGTGTGTGCACATCTGTCCCCAGAACCCGGCCAGCTGGAAGAGGCAGTAGTGAAAAGCAAATCACGACTTGTGCACTCTTTACCACTCTCCTGCTAGGAAAACCCAATAAAGTTAGAAAGCTCCCATAAACACTAGCTACCAGAGACAGAGAAATTATCAGTGGACTCTGAAGCAAGAGGAAAATCATATTACACATTCCCAGGTTACAAAGCATCACCACTATCACCTGGGTGCAGGGAAGTTTAACACCCAATGTGCATTTTATGGCTTATCCAATAGACAGAATCCCCCAGTACTTACACTGTTGATTTCTTTTGTCCCCAGCATTTTTGAGAGGCAAACATACAGGACAGTCATGTCTCGTACAATTCTTCCAGTGCGAGATGATTTGTCGGGAAGACGCACAGTGTGCCACTGAGAAAGGGAGGGGAATTAAAAACTTTTACAAACTACTCCAGTATCTCTGCATGGTCAACACAAACTGGGTAGGGAGCAACTATTTCTCTTAGGGCACATACTTGTATCAACACAGGTCAGTAAAGTATTACTTGAAATAGCTGAGCACTAACTAGCCCTGAAAATGTAGCTAGATTTCTTCAAGTACTACTGGCTCAGGTAAAGCTCACTTGAAAGCTCCATGTTATACACCCAAGCCTATGTCTCCCTGGTTGGAAGGATAACAACATATACATCAGGCAGACTGTACCATGCAATTGAGAGGCCAGCAACTGTCACAACCCTAGACTACCAAAGAGGTAGCAAACATTTTCCTTGGCTACTAGGACAGACTAAGAGTTCACCAGTGCCAGTAGCACCTTAATTCCTCACTCGCTACTGCTTGAGATTTGTCTCTTCTGTTTAAGGAAGACAGGTAGACTCTTACTTGCAGATTCCTGCTTTTTGTCTACTCTTACCAGGAGGTGTTTTCCAAAAGATCTTGCAGTGAGTTACAAAGTTAAGCAAAAGATCTTCACTTATCTCTCTGTGCTATCTTGTCTCCTCTAACTTGCCTAAACTTTAAAGGCTCAGAAGTTTATGATTTCCATTTTTAAGGAGAGACATAGGTTAAAAAAAATTCTACGTCCCAAACCACCCATTTGCTCTTTATATCTTTCTAGGAGCCTTTCTTGTCCCGAAAAAGTTGAATGCATCTAGAAAACCACTCCTCCACTTACCCTGGCAAGATTTGCCAGCCTGACAATGTGTCATGTGGTTCAGAACATTCTTCATGGTTCGGCAATGAGGGAGGTTGCACTGCCGCACCTCCCCGTTGGCCTGTTCTCGTCGCTGACACTTGTGAGCGTGTAAAAGGAGAACCAGCTGTTGCTGAATTAGTTTGCGTTTTTCTGGATCTGCTGTTGGTGCTCCAGACCCCATTCCTTGAGAAGCTGCTGGTCCCATCCCAGCTTGCTGAACCTGGGGAGCCTGCTGCTGGCCCTGGAGAAGGTGGAAAGGAAATACCCAGCAATAAATATTTTTGGGACTAATCCATTTAGCAAGTAAACAACAACTACAACAACAACAGAGAAACTACATTCTGTGATTAAGGGAACAGCCCACCTATCTGTAGTTCTGGATGACTCATATTAAATATACCCCTTAGCAACAGTCCTGGCAATAATTCTCTCACCAGACACAATCTCTTCCCCGTAACACTCACAGTCCTAGCTGTTGCCTTATCAAAGACCAGCAGAACTCTGCACATGCTCACAGGTTAATTTGCAGTGCTAGACCAACCAGAAAATATTAATAGCACTTAGACCTCAAATCTCCTCCTCATTTTGGAGGCTAGAAGGTTGTATCCACAACTCTTGCATTGACAGAAGAAAGCACCTTTTAGAGGGAAGAGTTTTCCCTCTGTTTCAGTATCAAGTGCCTCAATCTGACTGTTCCTAAAAAAGGAGAAGGAAGGGGAAGTTCTGGGAACCTTTCTGCAATAGGGAAACTTGCACGTGGACTTTCAAAACAAGCCTCGCCTTGTCTCCACTAGAGATGAAGCACAACTTCAGTCTAACATGTGCCACAGAACTACGGTCAAGTACGGCAACATATAGTACTACTTCTGTTTATTGCTTCAGACTTCTTCGAATTTCTTCCAGGTGACACTTGTGGAGTACTCAGCAAAGAAGACAGGCTCAGGGACTCTATGTTGCTTGTATCACTTCAGTTCAACAGTCTTCAGTTTCTAACAGACTCTTCACAGAGGGTTTTAGAGGAAGTTTTTGGAGCTCTCCAGATCTTTAGAGCTCAGCTACCTGCATTCCTAAAACCCTGTCCTCTCTCATAGCTCTTCAATACTAGTATAAACCTCCCATTTAACAAGGAGACTTCAGCAATTACTCAGTCCCCTCAGGGTTTGTATACGTTCCAATATGACTGTAGCCGCCTTGTTTGCAGCCTGTCATTCTAAACAACTGAGATAGCAGCAACTTTTCATTCCTAGGTTCAGCTGGGTAGCAGTTCAACTTCAAGAGAGTTGCAAACTCTGCACTGAACACAAGCTTGATAGTTCGGTTCTGAACAGAAAGTTTTGGCTGCTTCTTTATTGGTTCAGATAACCAACTGGTTGCACTAGACTTCCACTGTTTCATGCTCAACTTAAACTTCAAATAAAACTCTCAGGATTGAGCTCATTTTAATTCAAAGGTACTAAGAGTTACCTGGAAATGGTTTTTCAGCAACAGTTACTGAGATCAAGAGACTGACCCCTCTGCCTCAGGGGTGACAGCATGGAATGTGAAGCAGGCAGAAACCCAAACTAGATCAGAATTCACATCAGAAACGTGAATTTGTTTTCCAAATTAAAAAAAATATATGTAGAGCGGGGAAGGCAGGACACGTTGCATGTCGTACCTCTAACCAACGTAAGCTTCCAAAATGATGAGCATTCGTTCTCCCAGTGTTAAGCTCAAGCTAGGGAACCTGACGTTAAGCCCTAACAGGGCTTCAGTGCAGGGGAAGGGGGAAGCAACAGGGCTACTACAGCAACAACTGCCAGAAAACCTCCAGCATCAGGACTGTTGTAGATGGTAATGTATTTCAGAACATGAACAAACATAACCGGAGCTTCTAAGCCCTATCACAGGTAATACCTGTTTGAGAAGGAATACTTCTCTCTTCCAAAAGCATCAGTGAGAATCAGACTACACTGAGAAGGGGCCCAATACACCAACCACAAGTGAAGAGATGGGAGAGGAGAGCAGAGGTGTCCAAGCAGGTGCCAAAGCTCACTTCAATTAAGGAGCTCCCTTGCATTTTCTTTGCTAACAGGGTTCGCAGAATGAAGAGTGGGGGTACAGCTTATCAACAGAGAAAGCACAACTCAGCCCCATCCTTCCTGTCAGCCTTTTTAGGAGTTGAAGCAAGTGCATTATGTGTGGATTCAGAGCACGCATTCACACTGAGCTTGACAGCTGCAAAGAGTCACAACATGGCAACGCTAGAGCATACGGCTTCACTTTGGTCTACTACAATGTTTTCTGGAGACATCTTTCACTTCACTTACCATGTTAGGCATTCCTGCCCCAGGAACTGACTTCTAGTCCATTGGAAACTGTGGTAAACTATTCTGCAGTCCAGCTTTATTCTGCATCTGAGGCCCAAGTCCACCGGCTCCAATCTGCTGCCCGGTATTCTGACTATATGGCTGGCCGTAAGGGTTGGGATTGCTCATCATTCCCATCTAGGAATTAAAACGGTAAGATGTTCAAGTATGATCACTTAAGTTCACAATGTAAAAGGTAAATGAATACTTCAGGAAAGCAAGAGAGATCACATCCATGAATTGGGTACAAAGCAATACTGACCCACACACTTCCCCTGCTCCTTTATGTGCATGCATTTACCTATCACACAACATTAACTCTTCAACCAGACTGTTCCTATAAACACAGCAAAGCCAACTTACCAACCTTTGAGGTCAGTCTGGTCAGAACTGGCCTGATTATTTCTTTATAAGAGATTTTGTTCAACAGAATTCTCATTTCAGCCTTTCCTATCACAATTTTGTACTATGGACTATATAACTAGCAAGACTGGAAGAATTTTTCAGCTTCCTACACCTGTGCAGACTCCAAAAGGAGACAAACACCACCTTCACTCATATCAGCAGGGTTTATCCCCAAAACCTCCTACCCAATTGTCAGCACTCCCACAGCTCCTCTCCAGACAGCTATAAAAACGCATGCCTGGCATTTTCAGTATACAACCATTTTCAATTTAAGAATACACCATAGGTGAAGGTAACACCAAACACAGCCATACAGGCACAGTAACTTGTTTGCATTGAGCAGAACTAGAGGTCAAAGGTGATGGTAGTAAGGAACTCTGCAAACAAAACAAATCTGCTGAA